TGCTTAAATTGTATCTTTAATTTGACTTTTTACTTATTTCCGGTATTTGCCGATTGCGCGAAAGAAAATCACCCTACATTTTTAGGTAGGCCTTGGAAACAAATGAAACACGATGCATTATAAAATAATAACTAAATTTCTAACCAAGAAGCATTTAATATGCTGGCGATATATTTTGAGTATTTTCAAAATGCGACCATCGCTGCCCGCATCTTCTATTTGCGTTATTCGAATCAACCACGAACCATCACCGCCAGCATATTAAATGCTTCTTGACTAAAAATCGGCATTTTAGAAAAGACTACAAATTCAAAAAACTGCACCTTCTGAATGTAAACACAGCAGAATAATTTACAAAATACGGCTGTTATTATTTTATCATGCATCGTGTTTCATTTGTTTAATTTTCCAAAGCCTACCTAAAAGTGTAGGGTCCTTTTCCAAACAATCTTTCGCACCAGGCCCGTAGCCAGAGGGGGGGCAGGGGTGGCTGAGCCCCCCCTAGAGACTTTAAGCGCCCCCCTTCAATTATGACGTAACTTATAGCACAATCACATTATCACAATACCAGTTGAAATTGAAAAACAATAAGGAGAGATCTACTTTAAAAATATTTGGTTGCTTAAGTAAAGAGGGACAAACGTGACTACAATAATAGAGAATTGTCATAAAATTAAGTAGTTAAAGGCAAGCAGGATAATAGATAATTCCTACATTTTCTTCAAATGTAATATACCTGCAGCGTTGGGTACAAGTATTAGCGACAAATGAGGATTAAATTAAGAGAACCGGTCGTAAATTTGATGTCCAAACACAAACGGCAAGATATGATGATATTTTTACGGAAGTTTAATCAGAAGAAAAACAGAAAAATTCAATTATTTTAAAAACTTATGTTTTATGTGCCACTGTGCCAGTCTTATGTATGTATGTGATTTGTGAAAGGCACTTTTTAAAATTGTTTCCATCATAATATTCAGTTGCGTTTTCGTTTACATTTACTTTATTTTATATAATGTATATCATTATAAATTAGGATATTCGGATCAGAGTGGATTAGTTTCAATTATATGTTTATTACACAAATTATAGAGAATTTTCTTAATTTCGAATTTTTTGGTATACCTTAATGTACGCCCCCCTTAAGAACATCATTGCCCCCCTTAAAGCCCAACTCTAGCTACGGGCCTGTTTCGCACCATCGACAAATACCGGAAATACGTCAAATAAGATACAATTTAAGCATAACTGAGCCTCTGGCGGAGAAGGATTCTACTAAATTAACTATAACTATATAGGAATGCTCTTTTTAACGATGGCAAATTTGTTAGAATCGGTCAAACCGTTAAGAAGTTAAAGCAGGTTATTGCAAAAACAATTGAACGCCCCACGCCATCTTTGTTTTTGAAATAACTGAGTTTTTGTTTTTACCTACGAGTAAAAAATAAGAGGAGAGAATATAACGGTGGTTGGAAATAGCATAACACGCGACGGAAGTCGTCAAAATATCACTTCCTTTGCGCTGGTCAGTTATGTCGACTTGACTTATCATAAAACAGAAGAGACGATGTCAGTTTTGTTTTATTACACCACTGCCAATAATGACGCGTTTCTCCCCACTCTTCTCGCACTTGTATCACTTCCTTTTTGTCCATTTCCGTCAAGTCCCCTTTTAATGCAAGGTTCTCTCCTTTTATTTTACTCGTAGGTTTTTACGAAGATGATAGATAAACTGGTTCTGTTTAAAAATGTGAAAAAAGAATATTTAGTTTATTACCTATGCGAAATTTAAAGAAAATGCATTTTTAAAATTTAAGATAGCAGTTACGCCCTCTGGTGGTCATTTTTAGAACTTGAAAATATCTTCCAGTGATTCTTCATAACAGATTTACCCAATAATTTTTTTACCCCTAAGACATACGACGAACGGTTCCCGCGATATGGCCGAGGAACAGTCTTATTGGGTCACCCGGTACATACACCAAGCTATAGTTATTTTCGTGTCAAAACGGCAGACGCTTCGCGGCACTTTCAAATCTGGGTAGCAGTCGGTGTTAAAACTGGCGGTTCTTTTTATACACAAATGAAACAGAAAATTGAATAAAAATAATTTTGTGCGTAAGAAAAGATGAGAACATATAAAGTATTGACGCACACAATAAGGCGATGTCAAGGAAACCTTCTTTGGGACAAAAACCCTGGCATATCCCACACAAATACATGAACAGAGACATCAAAAGCAAGAGAAAATCTACAAAACATTTCAAATTGTGTAACAATAAAAGTCAGTTCACGAATTTCAAGATGCTAGGAACGTCATATCTTTTCCAAAAACATCAACCGTGCATGGTTCCAGCTGGTTGTTAAACGTCGCGAGGGCGATAAACTGTCGCCTAACTTCGTGCTGGTAAAAATCGAACCACATCCTCTTTATCGAAGACGCGTTCCTTTCGGATCTCTCCATGAATTGAAATTCATCGCAGGCGTCATTCGCCAGTCATTCTGTTGACTTCAAATCTTGAGGTTGATATCTGAATAAACAGGAAAACATCATTAATCTGAATCATCCAAAACATCATCTTCATCTGAATCATCTTCCAGATTAATTATTAGGGGCGAGGTACGTCGAAGTGAAGCTACCACCATTCTGGCCAACCGACCACGAAATGTGGTCCGCCCAAGTGGAAACTCGTTTCCAAATAAGCGGCATCATGAGTGACGACACCAAGTACGGACCTCGCCATGAGCTTGGAAGCCAAATACGCCAGCGCGGTCCAGGCATCCTCACCAAACCACCCGACGACGAGAAGTACGAAAAGCTGTGGGTTAGTCAGTTACGCGAATGCAAGTAACTAGGGAACCGCATTTCAGCACGACAACTCCATCCATGAAGCCAAAAAAATTAGCGCTAGAGATTGCGGACCAGCAAACCCAAACAAGCAGAGCCCAACGGTACGAAAGGGGGAGCGCAGCCGCGCACCAACACCAGGAAACTGACCCAGAGCTGAAGAAAATCCACCAAGGGACCACGTCACTGCAGCTCAAACCAATACAGCTGCAGCAAACCCGTCTACTGTGAAGTTTCCCAAGCCGCAGACCGTTTGCGGGGTTGCCAATTCTTGTAATTATACTTACTGTAGCGTTTATACTCGACACTGCGCGACGCCGTGCGACCCATCCCCCACGAATCCCCGCCGGAAAACTTACACTTCAACGTTGCCATTTTAGATAGTGTATGGTTGGTTGCCTAAATGGCAGTAAGCCTAAGATTATGATTACTTTAGTCGGTGATCGTACATATTTAGTTGCGCCGCCGGTTACACCCGATGGCCCGAAGCCACGCTCATCAGCAATATCGATGCCGAGACCGTCGCACGCGAATTTGTGAACACGTGGATTTCACGATTTGACGTATCATCACAAGTCACTACCGACCAGGGGCGAGGATTCGAGGCAACACTTTTCTGGAGTTTGGAGCACCTCGCAAGGTTCAAACAAATACGGACGACAGCATGTCACAAGGAGGGCATCAAGGAAACAGCGGTGGATATGGTATATGGACAGAGTTTACGACTCCAAGTAGAATTTCTAGCACAACCAACGAAAACAAACCCGCTAGACCCTCAGACATGTGTAACGCAACTACCTATGTCCTCCCGCAGTATCCAACCACGACACGAAAAGAAAACCGTTCAGCCGCTCAGATATACCTCAGAGTGGATGGTGCAACAGGACTGGAACGAACGGATAAGAGGGTTGCCATTAAAAACCGGAAAGCAAACGACAGTGTACAGCGACAGAGTGAAACCAGCATACACAGAAACCGAGGCAGAAGACGCGACGCCGAAAACAGTCCAGCCACAAAGACAAACCAACGACAACCACAGACGCACCCTACGTCACCCGGTACAGCAGAAAGGTGCAACAAAGAGTACGTTTCAGTATTGTATGAGAGCGACTCCATCGCCAGCAAGAGTATGTCTGACATCACGTAACATCGTGCACCGGCCATACTCTTCAGCGTTCCTCAATCTGAAGAAGAAGTGTTTCAAGACTAAGCAAATGCCGCCAGTGACCCCAAAGAAGGAACGTCGACATCGCCGGAACGTCATCCGAGAATTCTTCAACCGATCAACTGTTCTTACGTCCTTGAGCCGGTACCTCTATCATCCGTCATGGTGCACCAGATTATCCACTGGGTGCAGATTCCGATAGCTGACGTGTCAGTTCCATACGCAATACCACCGAGTAAACGACGCTCAAAAATTGTAAATCTATATATTGTAAATAAACCATTGTAAAGGTGACCAGGGAAACAAAACTAGGAACGCCAGCGCAACCTCCAAACATCTCGTTCAAAATAACCAATAAGATTAGAAATAAGTTGCTTACTTTTTCTTGGTAAACCCGATGGCATTTTTGGGGTGTACAACTTTTGGCGCATAATATCGCAGTGTTAGACTTACGGAAATTAGGCTTCTATAATTATTCGTTATGACATATCGCAATGTAAACGTAAACTACCACAATTTCACTTTTTCACTAAAGGTCTTTGGTATTATTTTTTAAATAGCGCATAACTCTACCTCAAGAACCTCTATTTTGTGAAATACATTGATCAGTCTAACTCCATAATCACGTGATTTCAACATTTATTATGATTTAAAATGATTTTTTTAATTTTGTTAATACGTTTGCACTACAATATTCCCCAAAAAGAGAACTGATGACGAGCCCTTTAGCTTTCTTTACAGGTGTTTAGTTTTTAAGAACGAGCACAATAAATTATATGCACTTGAAACAGGTCCGACATTTTTGTAACGTCCGGCTGCCCTTGTTCTTTCACGATTCATTAAAAGTATGCATTTAAAAATAGTGAGCATTCATAAGTGCAATACTAGAATTTCAGTACAGTTACGAGTTAGGTAATCATTCATTTACCAGTAATACTGCAACGAGAAGCAAGAACGTAAGGGATTAACTTTTACTTTTATTTTCAGCCGAACATGTGGTAGAGGAGTCCAAGACCTGCGGCAAGATATTAACGGTACTATCATGGGTAATCGTCGTCTTAACGATGCCTTTCTCTCTGATGGTCTGCTTTAAGGTAAGATTTCCCATTATAAATTTTAACGTAGATAGTAGACGAAGAGTAAATACAAAGTTCTTAAAACTTTCTAACGCTGAAAGTAAGTTAAGCGCGGGGGTATTATAGGCAGCTTATGATTTATACGTGCTTTCGTTGTAAATTCTTTAAGACCCAGGAGGTATAAGGTGTTATGAGAATGTGTTTATGATGGTATAAGTTTTCGCGTTGACAAATGACTTAAATGTGAGGCGCAAGTTTCTCTAATTACCAAAAGAAAAAAAGAGTAAGCGATGCAATGCAATGCCCAATCGAGTGTCATAAGAGTATTAAATATGGTAACGGAAGCTCTCTAGCGTTTTTGTTTAATTCGGTTATATTATCTTATTTCAACAAAGGTTTTGGCTAACTTACACATTAAATGTTTGCTACCTTTTCTTGAAGTCTATGTATAGTTGCACAAGATGGTGGACAGGGATATTTAGTATCCAGATTCATCGAGCTTTGCAGAAATGTAGGGCACAGGGTAAGCATCCCAGATCGTACCTACTTGAATCTTTACAATTACTACAAAATGGGCCATTCTGATCTTCGTACCTTATGTTAAACATCGTAAGGGTTGATATCTAATTATGTAAACAGCGAGTGAGAAAATATTTCCGGTTCGGCGGTGGCAAAACGTGCTCTCATTGGGTAAATAAAAATTAACATTCATTTCATATTCTTACAAGAAACAGCAAACTCGCCTTCGCTTCATAATTTCGAAATTAGCGCATAATATAATTACGCATCAAATTTGAATATGTTCCTACTTTTAATGTAAAAATGAAATTTTGACAAATAACACAACAAAATCCATTATTAACTATATAATTAGATCCGTGCGCTCGAGTTATTTCCGACCGAAAAGCCATCTTGATGTTAACTTTTATTAACATAAATAAAGAAGTAATCTTTTCCACTGCGTGGATTTTAAATCTCGCTGTTCTTTGTGACCGTCTTTAAAACTTCTAACCGTTTACGATGAATGAAAATATCCTCCTTTTATGTATTGAATAATCTTTTGAGAGCGACATTAAATTTTATCGCTTCCCCAAAGCAAGGGTCGATATTGAGATACGTATGTAACACGAATCAAATGCTTAATTAATTACGGGCCGATGTAGGTACTCATCCGAAGTGGAAGCACTGAATCGGATTTACCATGTTGATTAAGTTATTGATGATGCAAATAGGTACTTGAACATTTCAATTTAAAACGTATCTACCAATCGCGGTATAATAGCAATTTCATTGCGTAGTACAATGGCGTATTTTTGAACAAAAAAGGAACTTTTTTCTTTCTCCGAATTGTGGTCCGCGGCGCCACAGTATTGTTGTACCGTCTCGGGTACAAGGATGCTTATCCTTTGCTGTACATAACGGCGATTTTAGATGTAAAGATACTTATTCTTTATCAAGGTTGTATACCTGGTCGGCTTATTGTTTGTATTATCTCATTATAATTCAATATACTATCCAAACCTAAAGAAAAGTCTAGTCAATCAACCTTTACCCACCTGGACAAAAAATATAAAAAGGCAAACTATTCCCCTTAGGTACTAGCAATTCGCAATATTAAAAACAGAATTTGAACCCAGCTGGAAGATTTTCATTACTTGAATAGGTACAAATTATATACAGTTCGGTTGCAATGAAATGACCGATTCTTTAAGAGTTTTCCATTATTATTTAAATGACAAGAAACAAACTTTTCAACCCCTTAAAAGTATCGGATTATTTTGAATGTAAAAATGTAAACTATGGTTACCTTATACAGTAAACTACCGTAAATTTTCCGGAGTACTGATTGTCTACATAGCTGGTTCAATTGGTTGGAGAAAGGTCCTCGGTTCCGTAAATGAATGGCTTCTTTGATTATGAAGTTTGAACACGATCTGTGCACAAATCGACAACTGCAGACGGGTAATGAATTACGTCATGCATTTTTTAGTCCATTCACCTTTAGAATATTATGATGAGTTATTCTGACGCGTTTATTTGTTGCATTTATCTTGCCAATTAATTTTATTTAGGATCAAGCCGTTGTTATCTTTATGGCTTAAAATGTCCACTATTGTTTGTATTTACGGTAATGGTTTCTAAACGGGGAAATATCTGCTCTAAGTGAAGGTCACTAAAAATTTTAATTTGCAACTTTTTTCGAGAGTGATACATGGTGTTTGTTAAACATTCGGCAAAAATTAAAGAGGTTATTCCTTGGAATATTCTAAGGATCTTCTATCCTTATTGATTATTTGTCTGTTTTTTGTCAAATTTGGATTTCTTCTATCCAAAATCATTTGTAGACTAATGATTTTAGAGCCCCGCAGGCCAGTGGAAGATGTGGACAATTTAAGAGATTGGATTGGGTGTAACTTATAGTACTAGCGGTATAACGGAAATTCTTGAAAGATACTGCATTTTTTTATACCAAGGTGCCACTTGGTACAGTTGTTCCTTAGAGCCATTTAAACGATTTGACCCGAAGAACACTTGACATTTTCCGTGTGGGTAGATTTTAGAGGGGGTGGGGGTGATTTATTGTAACATTCTTTGAAAACTAAATATGGCCTAGAGACGAGATCTGGGTGTCGATTTCTTATGATTTTAACCCGAGGAATCCAATGGTAGCGCCAGAAATGTAATCCGGATACCGGAAGTCCGTGAAAAGCCGCCATTTTTAGAAAATGACAGACTTTTGATCGAATTATATTTTTAAGGCACACCGGGTCGTGTAAGGTGTCTAGACTTATGTTTTTGGGGTCAGGGAATTCATTTTTGATAACAAATATAACCTACTGGCATCGGAACTGCATGAGAGGCTTCCCTACTGCACTTTTTGAAGACATCGCGCGCGGTGAAACCTAAGATATTCCAAAGTTTTGATATATAAACTTATATTATTTTGTTTAATAAAAATACACATTAACAAGACATAAGATATATTAAAACATGGGGTAAAAAATGTATAAGCCTATGAAGAATCACCAAGTACATCGCTGACCTCCTCTAACCTCTAAATAGCATGATGCGGGTCACTCTGTAATTGGGCGCATGCCTGTTGAGGGCTCAGAACAAGAGAGGGATAATAAATAAATAAATTTTACATATAAATATTAAAGGTTCGGTAGTAAATTATGTATATCCGAAAGTATACAATATTCTTACCCTTTATTTGAGCAATCTCCCATACATTTTTGGCATGCAGGGGAACATGGTAATCCGTGTCGCCGCAGCACGAGTTGGAGGAGTACGTAAGGAGAGCGGCGTATGTCGCTGGCCATATCTGGGGATGTGCAAACCAGGTGATGAGAAGCTCTATAAGTCCAGAAGGATGGGGATGGACTCTTGAAGCCAAGGCAGGAAGGTTCTGTATTGTAGTCCAAGCTGCCACAAGTATGGAAGGCAGTCCGTGCTCTGAACAGGTGTGGCTGCGCGACAGGCTGCGAGACCCTTCGGTGCAGGTGCCGGCGACACGGATTGCCATGTTCCCCTGCATGCCAAAAATGTATGGTAGATTGCTCAAACAAAGGGTAAGAATATTGTATACTTTTTCGGATATACCTAATTTACTACCGAACCTTTAATATTTATACCGAGTGAATATTCCCAAAACGAACATAGAGAATTAACATAGTTGGAAAAGGGGTTTTTACGAATTAGTTCATTTTCAGGTGTATTTCTTACTATATTATCAAAAACTTGAGAAATCCACTTACCAAAATCATGTTAAGCCATGACTAAGACAAAAAGCAGATTCAAACGTCGAAATCAATATCAGTTTATGACGCCTGGCCTGGCATTAATTTTTTTGTAAAATGCGGTTCACTTATTTTTGAAATATTTACTCTAGTACGCGATATTTGTTTTCCGTGCATGTGAAAACCTATTTCAATTCGTTAGGAAATTTCCATGGCTTAACATGATTTTGCTAATTGGATTTATTGCCGAATTTTTGATAAAATACACCTGAAAATAAGCTAATTCGTATATCATTAGATGAGAAAAAAATATTCTTTTGATTGGTGTCATTACAAACCCTCTAAGTTAACATGGGGAGCAACGATCGGCAAAAAACGTTTTTCGCACCTTAATTTCCTACGTTCGGTTTTAAAATTCTTTTTCAGTGGTGATCACGCAATCTCAGAGGAGGTCAGCGATGTACTTGGTGATCCTTCATAGGCTTATAAACTTTTTACCCCATGTTTTAATATATTTTATGTTTATTAATGTCTATTTTTATTAAATAAAATATTACAAATTTATATAGGTATTAAAACTTTGGAATATCTTGGGTTTCACCGCGTGCGACGTCTTCAAAAAGTGCAGTAGGGAAGCCTCTCATGCAGTTCCGATGCCAGTAGGTTATTTTTGTTATCATAAATGAATTCCCTGACCCCAAAAACATAACTCTAGACACCTTACACGACCCGGTGTGCCTTAGAAATATAATTCGATCAAAAGTTCGTCATTTTCTAAAAATGGCGGCTTTTCACGGACTTCCTGTATCCGGATTATATTTCTGGCGCTACCATTGGATTCCTCGGGTTAAAATCATACGAAATCGACACCCAGATCTCGTCTCTAGGCCATATTTAGTTTTTAAAAAAATGTTACAATAAATCACCCCCACCCCTCTAAAATCTACCCACACGGAAAATGTCACGTGTTCTTCGGGCCAAATCGTCTAAATGGCTCTAAGGAACAGCTGTACCAAGTGGCACCTTGGTATAAGAAAATGCAGTATCTTTTGGTATACCGCTAGTACTATTAATAAGAAACAACCCTTGTGTTTCTTACGTAAGTTTTTTTTTCTATAATTCAGTACAGCAAGAAAAATTGACCTGGCTAGTTCCAGGGCAGTAAAATAAACCTCTCAAAAGAGGGCGAAAAGACCACTTAACATTGATACAAAATAAAATATGGACAACACTTTATTTACACCTTAATTTTACACAATCTGGTTTTGATAATTGTCA